TTCCCCAGAAAATTCTGGATCAGCTTTGCTTACAAATTTGTATTTTTAACTATGATAAAGATGGAGTGGGCCAACTGACATATGTAGTTTTAAAATAGTGTGTCATAGGGCAATGCGGCAAAACATTTAGCACTCCTGTTTTGGGCCAAAGAAGTGCTTAAATACATGCTTATCTTCAAGCGTAAGAGTAGTTCCAGAGTCAGGAGGAACCTCTATTCTCCTTTCAGGACAGAATCCGTAGTTGGGGATAAATCTTTTAAACAGGAAGTTACGTAGCCAGGCTCCTCGTACAATGAGGAGCACTTTACTCCATAAAATGAATGAGCTTCTCACAGGGCGCATGTACACATTCATTAATGCACTGTAATAACATGTACTAACTTAATGTGCCATAATTGATGTTACTGCTCATTAGCTCAGATGAATGCTTTTTGTGCGATGCTTAATACTCATTGGATTAACCTACTCCAGATTAATGCATTAGCACGGTTTTTGCCGGCTGCACTAATGCACAGTAGAGTTAGTCCAATGGGAATTAAGCATCTTGTGTAGATGTGCCTACAGAAGGTATGTTTGGTGTGACTAAGGCTAGAGACTTAGACCATGCAGAATTAATTCTTCTGGACTTTGCCTATTTTTATACATGCAGATTTTAAAGACTGATCCAGGTGGCAGGAGCTGTGGGTGAATACTCCTTCGCTAGCACTAGTGAATGGATGGTAGTAGAGCAGAGTGGCCAAGGCTGAATGAGCGGAGAGGCTGCAGGGGAAAGTAGCAACTGCAGCTCCCATCCTCACACTGTTGTCTTTGCTCCTTTTCTGTCTCTCATCTTTCCCTTTTCTTTCCCTCACTGTCTAGTCTCCTTCTTCCTCTCTTTCCCTCTTGACCCCTGTCTTCCTGCATTATCCTCTATTTTCATCTCTCTTCCCCATTTCTCTTCTGTACCACAGGCAACCTCTTCTCCCTCTCCTCTCCCTGGAGCGCTGGGTCCCTGTAGTGCTCCTGTACTCCCTATGGCTAATTCCCAAATACAGTTAGGCCTCACCCTGACTGACGTGTATGTAAAGGTGGCAATAGTGCCATATAAAGATCACAGCTCATGCATTTTTCCTTTCTCCCCAGCTGCAAAAAAAATACATCTGAGGGTGGAAAATTTGGCTGCTGGCTAGCTGCAGTCTTCCAGCATCCATTGAAGAAACCATCATCGTAGGAGACTGACACTTGGGATGTTAGCAGGATGTTGGCAGGTTTAGCAGGGACATGAGGATGGGTTCAATAGAAGGGAGTGAAAGTCATATTTGGGAGTTATGGAGCCTTAGAGGGCTCAGCCGGTGGAAGCCTGGCCAGGCCTTCTCTGGTATGACTGTCTGGTTGCTGAATGGACTGGCATTGAGCTGTAGAGCTTTTTGGCTTCTGATTGCTGGCTTAAACCAACATGGATCATCACAGAACAAAAATTGTTATGAACTCTTTGATGCCTTATGTGAAAAAAAACAGGAACCCAAGGGATGGAGTGACCTGCAAAAAAGTTGGAAACCAGGAGGATTTTGATCATGAGAAAGTGTTTTAGGCCCCACAGTGACCTGGTGAAAATCCAGGATGCTCAGGGGGGTTTTAGGGTTTGTATACAAAAAGAAGATAATCTTGCAGTGGCCTTGAGCACAGAACATAGGCTTATTACAGAGCCTGTTTCTAGGGATCCAGTACTAAGAGCAGAAGACAGAGGTGGGCAAAACCCAGCAGAGAGTGATTCTTCAGTTAGTATTGCATACAATGGGGCAGGTTTGGTTCCACGCTGTTTCATTCTGTGCTCCCATTTCATCCAGTCCCTCTTCCAAAAGCTACTGGGTTTGGATAAATGTTTCTAGTTGTGTCAGGTTCACCCCAAAGGCCAGATATTGGAGGGTCAACATTGCTTACCCCTCTTCCCTTCCTATAGCAAAAGGGTGGATGCCTGTAGGGGTATGAGTGGGTTTAGGATGCTGTGGAAATGCTGCAGTGAGGGATCATCTGTGGTCACTTGCTGCAGGTACACGGTGAGTCTCACGGTAGATACAGAGATGCCGTTAGGCAAATGAACTGGTCTGAGGGATGCTGATAAGACATGGAAAGGGCTGCCTGAGCCTTCTTGAAGAGCAGCTCTTTGAAGGAGTCACATGGCCCTGGAACTGCTGGTAGGAGATATGAAGGACCTTGAAAATTTACCCAAATGAAGGTCTGTTCCCTAACATCCTCAGGCTTAATTTTAACAGGGAGGCTGCATGTGCTAAAGGAGGTAATAATTATTTGCTGCAGGATGCAAATGCACCAAGAGAATGCAGCTCCCTAGAAATTGGCTAGTTTTCCTATATTCCCACAGTGATCACTTTTTTAACCAGGAGGCCACTGTTCCCCCTGTCTTCCTCCAGCGAGATACCTGCACCCCAGTACCTCTAGTCTCCTGACCCTCCTATGAAAATTGACAATGACCCTATAAATGCTCCATCTGGAAGAGTCAGTGTCTCTGTGTCTGTGGATGCAGTAAATTTAGCCAGGTCTGTTCCTTTCTCTAGGTGCATTAGTGTTACTTTCTGTCCGTCTGTGTCCCTACATGCCTGTGTTTGGTCCCTTTGAGCTAGGATGCCTGAAGAATTGCAGTGATAGGCGTGCTTCTATAAGACTGTCTGTATTTATCCCCTTATGGTTGCATTTGCAACTGTGGGCTCATTTGTCTATGGATGTCTCTGTAAGCATGGGAGTAATGATTGTTTGGTTTTGGGTTTTTTTGTTAAATGTTTAGGGTTTTTTCCCCTTAAAATGCAATTTATTTATAATGAGGTCACCGCTGCCAGATGGTTCTGGTTCCCAGAATCAGCCTGGAACAGACTATCGACTGCAATGACCCAAATGGCAGCTCTACCAGCCACATGGGGACTTGGTTGGGACTGGAAACTCCATTACTCCCTCTCTGCCTTCCAGCTCTTTTCCATTCATTCTGCTTGGGAACAGTCTGACCAGATTATGCCCAAAATGCAATGATGTCGAGCAAGCCTGGAATTTGGAACTTCATCCCCAGCCCCGAGTTATCTGTGACTGCGGGGTGACAGGGAATGAATCCAGATTGGCTGGAGAGCCAAGTGTACATCTGGTGTTGGAGAAATAATGTGGGGCCTGCTCAGGCACACTGGCTGGGAATACTGGGACTCCGCTAATTCCAGCTCCACCAATTCCATTTTACGAGCCCCAGTACCCCTTGCAGTCTCCACTTGGGACAGAAGCCTTCCCTTTTCCCTCCTACACTGGTGTGTGCTGATCTTCTGCCAGCCTCTCCCCAGTGTGTGTGTGGGGGGGGGGGCAGGGGTTGAATTGGGCTAGACAGAAAATTGGGGAGGGCTGTGCTATATACATCTTCTGGCTGAGCATACTTATTTGGCTGGGCTGGGAGCGCCGTGCCTCTTCGGGCTGTGGGCGGGAGCAGGGCAGGATCAGCTGTGCAGGGCAGGTGGCGAAGACCCAGGGAGGAAGGGTGGTGCTGGGAGGGGTGGCAGGCTAAGGTCAATTTTGGGGTGGCTATAGCCCTCTGAGCCCCTCCTAGCACTGCACATGCTTCTTCACGGCTCCAGACAGTCTCTGTTTTGCACTGAGGGAAAGGAGGGGGGGTGAAAATGGCTTTGGTATGCCCTTGACCTCCTTTGTTTGGTGAGTGTGAAGCTTGCCTAATTTATGTTCCAAAAAGCTTTGAATTCCTGAGAAGAAAAGCACTAGAGAAGTGCAAAGTATGATTAATCATTATTATTATTTCTATAAATTCTCACTCCAGCCTCAGTTGGAAAACAGCAGCTATTTAGCCGTGCCCATAAAGGCAGAAAGGACAGAGCGCTGGGTCTGACTCGCCCCTCCCCTTGGATCAGAAAAGCTGATGCATTTATGCCTGATTAACACCAGAAGGATCAGGCCCGGGAATCTTTCCTTTCTGCCCTTTTGGGCATGGATGACTAGCGGCTGTTTTTCACTGATGGGGTGTTTCAGTGATGGGAGACACAGCCCGGTATCCTGCGGATATGTCCATGCTGCCCCTTGCCACTGCCCTTCAAGGCAGAGATCTCAGGAGCTGCAGCCGCCTGGAAGCATCCTCGCTGCCCCGTGTCTGGAGTCTGCAGAGTGGGAGCGAGTGGACAGGGCTTACTTTGTTTTTGCCTCAAGAGCAGTGCAGAGACAATGTGGACATCCATCCTTATCCCTTCCTTGCCCCACTGGGGAGAGATGGGAGTTGAGGTATGCGGTGGTGAAATGACTTGCCCAAGGTCACACTATGGGCCTAACAGCAGCCCTGGGATTAGTGCCAATGCATCTGGACTCCCAGGAGACTGCTTTAAGCACGAGACTATCTCTGATGCCGAGTGATTTTTTTTTTTCCCCCACCGCTTCTGTGACTGATGTGAGTGTGCTTCAAATCACAGTCACTCTGACTTCTGCTATAAATCAAATACATCTCACCTCCAGAAAGTCTTTCTCCCATCCCTGAGTGAATCAGGCTCCCTGGTTCAACTCGGCTGGGATGCTGAGTCAGCAACATTGCAGTGCTCAAATACCTTTTACCTCCGCCCTTTCCTGCATCTGGCTGGTTGCCTTGGATGTTGTGTTTAGCCTCACCCACCTGTGTGATGGGAGCCCAGGAAATCCCACTCCCCTCTCTCTCCCACTGTGAACATTGGTTTCCAAACGGAAGAAGAGGAAGATGCTTTACTGGGAGCTTGCCCTGTTCATATATCACTGCCTAAACACTGCCGACAAACAGTGAGATTCATTTCAGTGCCAGCCGACCATAAATTTATTTGCTTGTTAATGCAGCTTCCCCAGTTCATGTTTTCCCTAACTAGGAGCATCAAAATGTCAATCTGTCCTCAGGGGTGTATCAACCTCCTGAACTGAACTCAGTAACAAGATTAGAATCTGTGCCGCTGTGAAGTGCTGTCTGTCTCTCTCCCTCCCTTTCTTCCTCTCTCCCTTTCACTCACACGTTCTTCTTCCCTTATCTGGTTTTTATCATTCGTTCTCCTGTTTTTTCTACCCCTTCATTTCTTTCTTCATCAATTCGCAATGATGCGAGGAGAATTGAGGTCCTCTGCACCAAGCCCCCTTGTCTGTCTCAGTTAGCCTTCATTTCATCCTTTCTTTCTTTCATTGCTTCTTTTGCTTCCTTCCACGGGCCAGCCAGTGAGAGAGGGATTCAGAAGAGGTGCTCCTAGAGGGCCTACTCCTCTGCAAGAAACCATAGGTTACATCCCATTAGCCCTTCCCACATGGATTTGAAGACACACCTGTCAGAGAGGGTGAGCCCGGAGCAATCTGCAGTAGTTTCAATAGATGGCACGTTCTGCAGCACAGTGCCAGGGCCACCGGGGAGGGGGCTAGTGCCCTGTCCATGTTGGGATGTCTAGTAAAGCTGGAGAGACAAGGTGAAGGGCAAGATGTCTGCATTCATAATAGGGGAGAGGGTGGTTAGAGATCTGGCAAGTCACTCCTTCTATGGGAGGGAAGGTTATGGAAGCAGCGTAACAAGAGGGTTTGGATATTAGAGCTATGGAAGCAGGCTTCTCCTTGAGAAGGAGGGAGGAGCCCTCTTAGGCATTAGAGATAAGGTGTGTCTACGTGTGCATTAACGTGCTTTAGTTGATGCTTATTAAATCTAGTACCTCCATTGTGACGTACTAGGAGAATGTGCATTAGCTTGTTTTAATGCACATTAACGAAAGAGCATGGGCATTTTTACACATGCAAGTGCTGCAGTGCTGGGCACTTTGAAAAGCACCCCGTGCTGAGATGCTTGCAGTTGTATAAATAGCGAAATGCACTGAGAAAATGGCGGCAGCGTGCTTTTGAACTAAAACTCATAGAAGGTGTTTTATGAGTTTTCTCATAAAAGATGAGTTTCTATGAGTTTTAGTTCAAAAGCACACCGCTGCCATTTTTTGTGAGCTGACGTGCATTTTTCCACTTATATAACTGCATGCAACACAGTGCAGTGTGCGTCAGCTCGTGTGTGTGGAGCAGACTCGATTAATTGAGGCTGCTCCAAAGCAGTGGACCTCTGGCATGTCACGGGGCCAGAAAAGGATGTGTATAAATGCCCCACGGTTTTAAAATGATTCTTAATGCACATTAGCCTATTTTAATGCACAATAACTAAAAAGCACATTTTTTAGTGATGCTTTAATGCACATTAAAATAGGCTAATGCACATTAAAGTGCACGTGTAGATGCATGAGACATGACTACTTGCATTATGGGCAAAAGCAACCTAGGAAGGGAAGGGTTAGAGGTTTGGAAACTATCTCCTTCTTGGTGTAGAGAAGGGTGTAATGAGATATTTCTCTGTTTGGGCAGTGGAGGAACTTGAGGTATGGAAACCCTGCTAATATGGTGCGGGGGTGTGTGTGTGTGTGTGCATGTGTGTATGTGCATGGGTTGGGGGAGGGAGAAGGCCTCATGGCCTGGTCCCAGCAGAACTGTCCAGTATCACTCCCTGCTGACAGCAGTGTTGCTTTTTATCTCACTTTATTTTTAAGTTTGATTTCCAGCCCCCTTTTTATTAACTTGTAGTCACCTGCCGTGGCAGTGAGGCCGTGTGCGTGATTAATGGCCCCTGAAACATCATCGAGTTTGAAAGGTTGCTTGTTTGAAATTTATACTGAATGTAGTTAGGAGGATTCTGTGCAGCTCGGCATTCATATCACAGCATAATTGCGAAGAGCAGATAATAAGGGCTCAGGCAAGAGGTGAGCAGCATGGAAGCACCACTCCTATGCAACAAGCAATAACTGGAATCAATCAGTACCTTGATCAGTGCTTCCTACACCACTGAAAATCCTGCCTGGAACAAGATCTGTGTCCTCATTGCTTCATTATCCCACTTTTCCCCCATTGCTGCTGTGCAAACCCTGGCCAAGGCAACATACTTTCCTGCTGTTGTGGGGTGACAGGCTCTTTAAAGGGTGATGGCTTGATTATCACCTTTGACACAGCTTAGGTCACCTCCCCAAGTGGTGAAAATGAGCAAAATCATATGGCTGGCAGGCCATGCAGTCAAAGCAAGCCCTCTTAGGTGGAGACGTAACAGAAGTCTTTGGAGAGCTCTGGGCTCATTTGGGAGCTGGTAAAATGTATGGTATGATTTAGAGGAGCTCATCAGGCTGAAGTGAAAAGGTGGATCTTAAGGCAGGGGAAAACTGGGCTCAGGTGGGACTGAGAGACTCTCTTTGTATTTGTTGTGGATTTAGATAATTGCAGAGGCTTGGGCTTTCTTCTCTGGCCTGTTTGGAGGGTTACAAGTTACTGTAGCAATCAGGCAGGGCTGAGTGCTGAGAAACTGAGGCAGCAGCAGCTCCCTAGAAGTTGGACAGGTTAGATGGTGCTGCTGTTCCTTCCCAGGGTCCATACCCCCCTTTCTAAGGGGAAGCTCAGACATATTTCCTTAATGAATGCAAACCTCTTGAGTCAGGGCAGAGAAGAGGTGGCTGCAGTGGGGGATAGCGAGGCCTATGCAAGTGTTGTGATGGATCTTGCACCTTTGTCCATGTTGTCCCGCTGTGCCCAATCCTCACGAGCTAGGATCACCTCCACAGAAGAAAGAAAAGACCTGCAATGAGCACTCTGGTGCAACACCTCCCAGACAGGCATTTGTTTTTTCAGGCAGAGTTCAATGTCAGCACAAGAGCAGTTGGTTCTAAATTGTCCATGATTAAAGTTTGGCAGGAGATTAGAAGAAGATTTATATTCATCAGAGGGGTAAAGATCTGGAATTGACTTTCAGTAAAAGTGGTAAAGGGGCAAAAAGGCTTTAGGGTGAAGCTGGCACATCAGTGGGGTTTATGATGTGATAGCAGAGAACTAGACTCGCTGATCCAGGAAGTCGCTCCAGTTTTATTTCCTATGTTTCCTGAAAATGCCATTGTAGACCTGATGCCACTGACAGAGCCCCTTTCACCAACGAGAGCACGTGGTTGCATTAGGGATTTTTTTTGCACCAATATAACTTGACTCAGTATAAGTGCTCTGAGCTGGGCATTTCAGAAGCCTGGCTGATGCTGTCTGAGAGTATACTGAGCTGGCAGTAACTCTGAAAAGACTGAAAAATATTCCTGGCAAAATATGGGATTGTGTCGATCAAATTTTTTCCCCTAGAAAATTTTAATTTTGAGGAGTGTGGGGTTTTTTTTTTCCCTTCTCAGTGAGATGCTTCCAAATGCAATGCTTTGTTTTGATTGCAAATGTTGAATGTTGTTTAATTTTGACATGTCCAGATTGCTCTTTCTGGGGGAAGTTTTCCAATCTATGAAAATGCTGGTGCTTCAACTTCTCCCTCTGTTTTGGGACAAACAAATACTGAAATTCTTTGTTTATGGCAATATTGAGGAATCCCTGGCACAGGTTAGGATCTCCCTGAGCAAACCCAGAACAAAAAGGCCTTCTGCCCTAAGGAAATTCCTCTTGAAGGATAGGCATTCCAGTTTCTGAATAGCTCCAGTCTTACACCAGCACAATGTAGCTCCTTTGGGGGCTGATATTAAGGGACTGTAAAAAAAAATCTCCTAAAAAGCACTTGAATGGGCAACATCCTAGCCCTAGTGCTTCTTGCATTGTTCATTGCAAGCTCTTTGTGGTGGGGATTGCATCATCTTCTGTTTTTTGTACCTGTTGTTGGTGCTTAATTGATAAACTATTCATCATTAATAAGAAGTGCAGTATGTGTCGGCTCTGTAGAAGCCACTGGTATCTTCATTAGCAGAGAACCGCAGGGTAAATGTACAGTGGCCCTCGCATGTGGGCCCAGTTCCTTTAGCCTGGGACTGACAGGTCCGTGTTGGGTAGCTGGACATATTCCCCTTCTGGAGCTGATTCGGACTGCGGGCCACAGGATTGCCAAGTTGGCGCTAGGTTAACTCTGTATGAGTGGAAACAGGCTGCTGCCAGGGTAGGCACAGTGAGATCACAAGGGCAGGAAGAAGAAAGCTCAGTCTGTTGTCTTCTCTTATGGGTGATGAGGTTTCTCTTCTTGGCAGGAAGCACCATTTATTTTTATCAGGGCTGGCAGCTCACAAGCTGGACTTGGAACTAAAAAAAAGGAGATCCTCCCACGCCTCGGCTGGCTAGAAGCAGGGAAAATTCGTAGTGTAAATTAGCCCTTCCTGATGGGAATACATTCACCCTTTGCAGCTTCCAGCCAGGCTCGTCTCAGACTCAGGGACACAGGCTCACCTGTTACAGGCAAAGCAACATCTGGAACCTGATGGGGATGGGCTCTTAGAAACCTCCCTTCAATTGCAGGGGTCAATGTGCTGCTGTCAGCACGGTGCGTGTAGCAAGGAGACAGCCCCAGTGCACAAACCAATTTGGGTTGAATTGCATTGAAGGATGGCTGGTTGCCAACAGGCATGAACTGCCTAACAGCTTGAGCTGCTTTCATACAGTCAGGCTGACACAGATACCTGTAGGAGACTATTTCCCCTTTACAGCCACTGGGCTTCGAGTAACCTCTAGATCTATAAACTATCTCTGAATCAAGTACGGTGAAATATCAGGGCTGTGGTTTCTTTCCCTGTACTAGGGGGACAGGGCCTGAGAAGCAAGCTGGAAATCTTGCTCTGGTTCTTCCAAAATGGAATTTTTTAAACTTCCCCTCTTGCGCTTAGGCAGACAAGGTTCTGGGTAAATCTGATATCTTCCATTAGAGCAACTCAAATAGTTGGAAAAATTCTTCTTTGCAAGCTTTCGGGTATAAATACCCTTCATCAGGCTGAGGAAGCCTCTGCAGTTGGTGTGTGCTCTTCCTGGGTGGAATGAATAGTAAAGAAGCCAGAAGCTGGTCTGCATGCAAGAAAGCTAGTCAGCAAAGATGTAAATTGAGGAAATCCAAATCTCTAGATACAAATCTCTAAATCTCTAGATACACATGCTCCTCAATTTATATTTTTACTGACTGGCTTTCTTGCAGGTATACGAGCCTCTGGCTTCTTTACTATTCATTCCACCCCGGAAGAGCCCACACCAACTGCAGATGCTTCCTCAGCCTGAAGAAGGGTATTCATACCCGAAAGCCTGCAAAGAAGAATTTTTCCAACTATTTGAGTTAGTCTAATAAGAGGTTGGATTTACCCCAAAAAACTGTGTCTTCCTATGTCCTTAGACCAACATAGCTACAACCTATACCTCTTCTTCTTAGTAATTCTTCTGCCCTTTGAGGAGGAAGGTTACGCTTTGTTTTGTCCTCCAAATTACTTTTTATTTGCATTGTTTTCTGACCACTTCCTGTTTGGGGTCATCACATATACCT